GGTTATTATTGCGATCAGAGGGCTTAGATATTAGTTGGGCGGTGGTATGTGAAGTTTTAGGTAGTGATTTTGGCGAAAGACCAGAGATTGTGCTTGAAATTGATACGAAAGATGGCCAAGAGGGACTGGTGAAAGGAGTAGTACGGTCTATTCTGGAAAAAGAGATAAGAAATGCGAAAGTTAGTTTATCTATGGAAGTATTTAAAACCGGATCTGTGCTTGGGTTGGTTGTAGCTGCAGTTAGTGAGATTCTGCAGAGGTTAGAGATTAAAGCGGAGTATCGGGTGGAGGAGGAAGAGAGTCGAGGCAGGACTAAGCTGGGTATATGGAAAGACCAGCAGGATTTAGTTTGGAGCAGTACATTATTCAACTAGGTTAGTATTAAGTTGGGTTTAAGTAAAGTTTAAGATTTAGATTGAGTTTAGATTTAGATTGAGTTTGGTTTGGTTTGGTTTATGATTTAGATTTAGTTTAGTTTGGTTTATGATTTAGATTTAGTTTAGTTTGGTTTATGATTTAGATTTGGATTTAGTTTGAGTTTAGATTTGGATTAGTTTGAGTTTAGTAGTGGTTTAAGTAAAGCTTAATATTTGGATTTAGTTTAGTTTGATTAGTAGTGGGTTAAGTTTAGTTTAAGTTTGAATTTAGATTTGGATTGTGATTGTGATTGGATTTATGATTTGAATTATGTTGGGTACGACTGAACTTGAGTTAGTATATAAACATCTTTTTATCTTATCTTAAACTTACCTTATTTTATCTTAAACTTATCTTAAACTCACCTTATCTTATCTTGAAGTTAGTATTGGGTTAATATTAATTTAACATAGACTTATATCAGCTTGGCATCACCTCATCTTAAACATAAAGCTCAATTTATCTCCACTGCCTGACCTTTCCCTGCAAAATATCAACTAAATACCAACTAAATACTAACTAAATACTCACACAACACCCACAAGATACCCATACAACACCCATACAATATAAACCAGATACTTTACTGGCCTGGAATGATATCAGGTCGATTCAAATATTTATAGTCCCGATTTTTAGTTTACGATGACGATATACGTAATTCTGACAACTAAAGGCCCAGTTCTGCTTAATAAAGAAGAAAATGGACTTGGCCGAGC